CTTCCAGACAGAAGCTGCCAGCCGTCATGTTCTCACGGGCAGAGATCAGCTTTTGGACCATCCTCAAACAGTGCATTGGCAAAGTAACGTCGGTCAACTACAGTGTGAACGTTTGGGCTGTCAGCTACAACAACAACATCAACAACAACACCGCTACCACTACAAACAACAACAACCACAACAATATCAACAACAACAAGAACAATAACAACAACCGCAGTTTTCGTACCATCCTCAAACAGTGCATCGGCAAAGTAACGTCGGTCAACCACAGTGTCAACCTTTGCTCTATCAGCAACTACAACAACATCAACAACAGCAGCAGCAGGAACAACAACAGCAACACTAACAACAACAATAACAACATAAACAAAACAGCAACAACAATAACAGCAACAACAACAGTGTACTGACAAAGTCCGTCCATCACATAGTAAACCATTGCTCTATCATACCTCTCTGTCCCATAACTAATGCTCCTTTCCCTTCGTCAACCAAAGAGTGAACCTTTGCTATACCCATCCTCTCTTCTCCGCCTCTAATGCTCATTTTCCTTCATGCACCCTATATTTTCTCCTTAGCATTAACGTTTCTTTCACTACCTTTTTTCTCCCCTCGTCCTTATACGTTCTACTCATAGTTTTACCCTCTGTCTTTCTGTCCACACCTCGCTACCTCAGAGTTACAAAGTTCTATCTGACATTTTTAGCCTCTCTCCTCACCCCTTCCTCCACTTTTTCTCCCTTCCTCTACTCCCCTAATGTCACCCCACCCCCCCACCCCACTCCTCACCGCACACTTTCCTTCCTCAAACCACATCTCAACTCGCCCCTCTACTCCTTCCTCTTTCCTTCCTCCTTACCCCCTCTCCCCCATTCTCCCCTCACTCCACCTCTGCCTCCCCCCCGTCTTTATCTACCCTCCCCTCCCTCCTCCTCTTTGTTCCCTCCTCCAAAAAACACTCTCATCCCACACCAGTTCTGCCGTCCCAAGGCAGAGCGATATATCTGAGAAAATTGAGGGATTTTTTGTTGTTGTTGTTGTGTGTGGGGGGGGAGGGGGTGGATGTGAGTGTGTGTGTGTGTGTGTGTGTGTGTGTGTGTGTGTGTGTGTGTGTTTGTTATTGTCCGCTCATCTT